TATGGGAGTTCTAGTGTGGTGCTATAGGATAAGAACTGGACCATTATCCAAAAGGTCAGCGTTTCAAAACTACCAGTTGCTTAATGGAAATCCTATACAGGGTGGCTAATTACTCAGAACCAACTCGATGACACTTAATGACAACAACAGTGGGCAAAACATTGAATGATACAGGAAGTATTAAAAGAAGATGGTAGGAATACACATTCTCACTGTACCAAAACGAAATGGCCGATACTAAAACATTTCAAGAGGTAGCATATGACAAGGAATCAATGATACTGAAGAAATAAATCCAAACTCCACTGAAGGTTTTGGTAAAAAAAACAAGGTTCCAGAAATTAACAGAATACAAATTGAAATATTTCAACAAACTGATGGAGCAGTGAAGGCACTCTCTAATCTATGCCAAGAAATTTGGAGGGCAGCCAATCGATTAGAAGAGATCTATATCTGTGTCCACTCCGAAGACAGGGAACCCAATGGAATGTGGAAATCATCAGACAATATCATTAATACGAGATGCAAGTTTGCTGATGATAAATCCAAAATGGTTGCAACAGTACATGGAAAGGGAATTGTCAGAAATTAAAGCCAGATTCAGAAAAGGACGTTGATGTCATTCCTGACAACAGACAGGTCTTGACAAAAACAAAGAATAACAGAAGGATGTTTACTTGTGTTTTATTGATTGTGAAAAGACATTTGACTAGGTGGATCATGAAAAACTATAGCTAACACACATAGAATGCATATTCCAGAACACTTCATTGTGCTCATGAGGACACTATACATAGATCAAAGGCAATAGTTAGAACAGAACAAGGGGATTCCGAATGGTTTAAAATCATGAAGGCTGTATGCCAGATTTTGTATCCTTTCACCATACTTATTCAATCTGTATGCTGAGCAAATAATTCAAGAAACTGGATTATATGAAGAAAAACATGACATCAGGATTGGAGGAAGACTCATTAACAACCTGAAATATGCAAATGATACAACCTTGCTTGCTGGAAGTTAAGAGGACTTAAAGTACTTACAGATGAAGATCAAAGACTACAGGCTTCAGTATCAATTGCACCTCAATGTTAAGAAATTAAAATTCCACACAACTGAACCAATAAATACCACATGATAAATGAAGAAAAGGTTGAAGTTGTCAAAGATTCAATTTTGATTGAATCCATAAGCAACACTCATGTAAGCAACAGTCAAAAAATCAAATGATGTATTGCATTACACAAACCTACTGCAAAAGAACTTTTTGAAGTATTCAAGAGCACAGATGTCAGTTTGAGGACTAAGGTGTGCCTGATCCAAGCCATGGTATTTTCAATAGCCTTATATGCATATGAAAGTTGGACAATTAATCAGAAATCATGGAGAAGAATCAATGAATTTGAATAATGCTGTTGGAGAAGAATATTAAAAGAACCATTGGCGGATAAGAAAGACTGTATTTGAATTATGCTGTTGAGGAAGAATATTAAAAGTATCATTGGCTGTCAGGAAAACAAATAAATCTATCTTGGCAAAAGTACAGCCAGCCAATGGAGTGGCTGGGCACACTGGACTCAGGGAGGGAGAAGGGCTGTGTGCTGGCAGCCAGGGGGCTGATGCATGGAGGGGATTATAATCATTGCAAGGAAATTAAATGATGTTCTCCCGTGTAAACCTAACAATAAAAACTTGAAGAAAAAAAAAGTACAGCCAGCCAGAATGCTCCTTAGAAGGTAGGATGGAGTGATTTTGTCTCTCATACTTTCAGCATATTATCAGGAGGCACCAGTCCCTGGAGAAGGACACCATGTTTGGTAAAATGGAGGGTGAGTGAAAAAGAGGAAGGCACCCAAAGAGATGGAATAACACAGTGGCAGTATCAATGGATTCAAACATAACAGCAATTGTGAGGATGGTACAGGACTGGGCAGTGTTTTGTTCTGCTGTGCATATGGTCACTATGCATTGCAACTTAACAACAATTCCTAGAAAATCTATCTCTATGCATCCCATTTCATGTTTGATGACTTCTATTATTCCTATATCATACTTTATACATTCTACATTCTAATTATTAATGAATATTTGTGGCTTCTTCTCATTTTCAGTTGTGCAACATCAGAAAATGAAGGTCCCTAAAGCTTTGGTCCATTCTTGTCAGTACATTGACCCTACACTGAGGAGGTGGCTCTCATGCAATTGCATTTTGGGTGCATTCTAATTTAAGGTGTTCATATTCCAGAACTGTATTAGAGATCTTACACTCATGTTCATAAGGTTTTCAGTGGCTAGTTTTTCAGAAGTGTTACTCATATTCTTTTTACCTTGGCTGTTTTAGTCTGGAATCTCTGCTGAAACCTGTCTATCATGGGTGACTCTGCTGTTATCTGAAATACCAGTGGCATTGTTTCCAGCATCGTAATAACATGCAAACCAGCACAGTACAACAAAGTGGCAGATGAGTGGCGGAGGTCTTGCTAGCACCTATAATTCCCAGCATTTGAAGGATTGTTGTATTGTTGTGTGCCCTTCAGTCAGTTCTGGCTCATAGTGACCCTGTATAGGGTTTCCAAGGAGCTGATGGTGGATTTTTTTGTTTTTCTGTTCCTTGTGGTTAGCATTCCAGTGCTTATCCTACAGCTCCACACCAAGATTTGAAGGATAGGTGGTATAAAGTTTAGGGGCTTTCAAGCCTTTCATGACATAAAACATTTGGACCCCACTCCAAAAAGTATCAGAATAGTAATTCATTCTTATTAGGATCAAAACTGTATTAATATAAGGAATCTTATTGTGTACTCTACATATTGACAAAGCAGTGAATCATAAATATCAGACATAAATCAGCAGCCTCTTTGAGCTCACTGAACAAAAGTGAAACTAACTGTATCTTGACACCAATGACCAGTAAGCTACTAAGGTATTGAAACAAATCATATGAATTATATCTATATACAAAAATTTGAATTTAACATCAAAATGCTAGTTTTAAATATAGAGGAATCATATAGGAGGCATTTTGTACTAACAATTCATCAAAGCAAAAGAAGACAACTTAAGTCTTTGGATTCAAGTGATGGAAAGTAGGTCTTCAGCTGTGTTCAACCCTGATTATCCAATTGTCTGTTTCAAGTGGTTTGGGATCTAAGTATGTTGTTCCTTGTTGGCCCTGAATGTAGAAAACATAAACAGATTTGTGAATCTAAAGAAAAAAACATGTTTCTTAATTAAGCATGATTCATTCATTAATACACCAATTATTTATTGATCACCTAATATGAAGATGTCAGCTTGAGGACTAAGATGCACCTGACCCAAGCCATGGTATTTTCAATAACCTCATATGCATGCAAAATCTGGACAGTGAATAAGGAAGACCATAGAAGAATGGATGCATTTGAGTTATGGTGTTGGAGGAGAATATTGAAAGTGCCATGGGTTGCCAAAAGAACAAACATATTTGTGTTGGAATAAGTGCAGCCAGAGTTTTCCTTAGAGGCCAGGATGGCCAAACTTCATCTCTCATACTTCGGACATGTTGTCAGAAGGGACCAGTCACTAGAGAAGGATATCATGTTTGGTAAGGTTGAGGATCAAAGAAAAAGAGGAAGACCCTAGAAGAACAGAAGATACCTCTTGAAAGAAAGAACGACAGGAAATAACAAAAAAAAAAAAAAAAAAAAAAAGAACAATAACAGCAGTCTGACTGACTACTACAAGAACAAGCAAGTTCTTCACACAGGAGACATCAAGGCAAGTTGTCAGGTCCCCTCAGGGTAAACCTCCTTCCGAGACTAAGACTCAAGGGTAATACATGAGTAGACATGCGCTCTGACTGGTGATCACGTTGGACACTGATAAGGGGAAGTGAGGGAAAAACAGCAATAAAGCTGCAAGCTAAGTCCTACCACGTTCAATAGACTCTTGTGAAACTGAGTTGAGACCTGGTTGGCCATCAGTCTGAGGACTCCTGGGCCCAGAGTCAATGGCATAGCCACAGAGGACTAGAGTGGAAAGTGAAGCATCCAACTGATAAGAAGTGAGGGCATATGCACAAGAACACCCAAACTTGCAGATAATACCCACTTGACCTGGCTTCAATGGCTGGATGATTAGAACTCAACTAGAAGAAGAAAGAAGAGGAAAACTAGAGTAATCTGATACAACTTGATGAATTACACCTACACCTATGGATGCAGTAGCTCAAAACAGGGAACAAATCCTTACAGCGAGGATCATTCCCATCTCTTCAATACACAGGGTACACAGGGATGGGCAACCTGAACATTGGCTACCCAAAATGAGGGTTGTTGTTGTTGTTGTTAAGTGCCGTCGAGTCGGTTCCGAC